CGCGTTGAGTAGGGATGTATGTTGAAAAAAATATTTTGTATGATGATTTCTTGAATTTAGTCGTGCAAAAGTCAGGATACAATTGTAAACTGGAAGACCTTGTCATAAGTTACGTTCCCCATTTTTTTTCATAAAGAAAAGGTTTAACCTTTTAGAAGAACTGATCAACCTAATTTTCTTGGTTATTTAAAAAGAAGCAAATAAACCGCCCATATTAAGAGTCAACGTAGAAGAAAATCCTATTGAGGAGTATGATAATGTAGACGCAGGCTAACTAGATATTTTAAATGTTGAATTTGATCCTACGGACATGAATAAACTCGATGATGAAATTGGAATAGGTGTAGGTGAAGGGTCGGACCTTGAAAGCAATATGTCTCCTACACATATGGTTCGCAGCAACAATACATGTTCTTTAAAATCATCACATGTGAATAATTTTTGAGACGATGAAATATGTTTTTATAAGGGAATGACATTCAAGAGCAAGCAAGAGCTGACAAATTCACTGAAAATTGCTTGCTTGAAAAAACTATTTTTCTGAAAAAGGTGATCAATTCTCGTAATGTGTTTTCTTTAAATTTTAATTCCCGGATTGCAATTGGTGGTTGAGGGCTGTGAAATTTAGAAGTAGAGACAGGTTTGCCATTATAATATATGAAAAGTACCATATTAGTGGTTCAGAGAATTTTACAAGTAATAATCCCCATGTCACGTCAAAAGTCATAAGGAAGTAGTTTGAAAATAGGTTTCCCAATGGTAAAGACCCACCCACAAGAGACATGTTATCACATCCAGGGAGAACACCCTAGGCGTACGTAGCTTCGTCGTCTTCATCGAGAACTTTTACTAGCCTCTTAGATTACATAATTATATTCATAGGTTTATAATGCGGAAAATTTAAATTTTTTCTTCTATCTATTAGAAAGTTTACATATACCTCTCATATACACATAATATATATTCATATCGAGTATACATAAACCCTTTGTTTATGAAAATTACATAGTCTCTTCTAATTTTATTACACATATACATGTGTAAGATATAAGATAGTCTTAATGTAACGACCCAAAAGTACCCCCTAGAAGAATTGAGCACCCTTTGGTCGGAACAATAGCATACTTAACTTTTCGGAGGTCTTGTACAAGGCTTAGCTATCATTCATTACATAAGACATGAAAAGTAGTGTAAATTAAAACTTTTCACGAATAAATTAATAAAGAAAACATCTTTCATAATAGCTAAGGATTGATCTCGTCAACACAAGCCAATATAAAGACACTACATAAATATCTTATGGACACGGACCTTTAAATTAAATGAAAATACCTAATAAGTCTTAACGATATAAATGATGAAATAGTACTATGTCCATGAATATAAAAGGACATACTTTAATCTTGAGAGGATTGATTCCCAAGCTTTGTCTTCTAGTCTTCAAACGCCTCCAACCTATACTTTATAAAGTATAAAAAAGTATGGGGTTAGTACAAAACAATGTACTAAGTATGGCATATGCAAAAACATGCCAAAACGAAATTTTGGTAAAATAAAAATTCATGCCAAATAAGTAAAATATTCATGATTATAGAGTAAAATAGTATAAGAATAATAATTTAGCACATGATAAAAGAGTTCCATAATTTTAGCTTAAGGAGTCACTTTACAGTAAACATCAAAACTTTTGAGTGAAACAAATTGAAGTAGTGATATGTTAAAGTGAACAACTCATTCCAAGGAAGGTGAACTCATTTCCCAAGAGATTTCCCTAGCCAAGTTATCCTAAGACTCTCTAAGGTAAGACAAGATGGGAATGCCCATACACAAGCTTCAAGGCACACTAAGGTGATCCTTAAGACCACCAACGATAGTCTAACTGTAACATTCAATAAAATGTACATGACTATTGAAGACACTTGTAAATTATTAAGAATCTGTATAGGGGTACATAGGCATCCCAATGCCCAATATTGAGAAATACTGGGAATATTATAGAATATTGGCTTAAGGGTGTTAGCCAATTTCTATGTATACACAAGTATTTAAAATATAATCCAAGCTTGTTTAATAATTGTACCTGCAATAAAGACCCTAAGATAAAATTATTGATTCTCAACTTAACACATTATGTACTAGGTATCGAAGTGTCAAGCCTAGGTACCATAGCACATGATCACTTAAAATGATCATGTAGATTAAGCAGTGCCCAAGGACATAATGAAGATCATTGTACAATAAGTAAACATTCCGAATGACCCTTCCATAATAGTTAGTTAGGAATGTACACGCAACACATGTGCAACCGGCCAAGAGACAATCTAACTGATTTAGTTAGAGAGGTTGGGGACAGGCGTGCGTCTGGGTCAGCCCACGTGGGGCCACGATCCCTACCAAATCCTAGACTCTAACCAACTGACCTAGATACCTAACTTAGGACAAACCAAAATTAACTAACTAAGTGACCCGACAAACTAAGACCTAACCGGGTGACATAAAGACAAGTAACTAATTAAGAAATATCATAGTACCTAACCTAGAATGGTCCAAAAGGGTTTGTTATGGTCTTAATGAATTAGGAGTACTTTATTAATTACCTTATGTTACATAATTAATTAAATTAGCAACTTAATTAATTAATTAAAAATAATAATAATCGTCTTATCCATAACCCTCAGAAAATTTCCAGATTTGGGTATGTCAAATGTTCTCTTATTTTTAGTCAATTTAGGAGGGGCGTTTAGGTAATTCGATAAATGATTTCTCTAATTAAGTTAATTAGCCTATGTTAAAGTAGTCAGCATAATTTCCTAAGACTTAGAATACGTACAATCAGTAGCTAACCGACGACTCTAAAACAGTAAGCAAACGTGAAAAAATCAGAAAATATTCTCAATTCTCCTTAGGCGATTTCAAGGTTTTCGTGCAAAGTACAAGGTGATCTTCGTAGATTCAATTCTACATTAGTATGGGTATTCTCTCCTTGAATTATTTCTCCAGGAAGCCTTCAAAACTTTTACAAATAAACAATATCGAAAGTGGGGTTGTTCCCAATATATTGCAAGTTATCCTAATTTCCGAGGTGTAAACTGATTATTATGTGTATGTTTCCTTGATTATAATCTCGAATAAAACCTACATGTTAGATTCGCATATTTAGGATGTTATCTATATGAATGTTAAATATTATAATGCCTACTTGTGTTCGAGAAGATGAAATTGTTATAAATTGTTCAATGAATTGTTTAATAGACTAATCAAATCTTAACTGTTGTCTTGTTTAACACAATAGATTATTATAATGAATTTATGAAGTAATTGGCAAAGCTAGTAATAATGTTATGACAAGTATCTAGTGAAATTGTGATTTATGCCAACAAATTAGAAAGGAAAACTGTGTCCAATCATAATACTTCTAAATCATGTAAAGTCATACCAACCTCTACAACAATGAACTCATGACATAGGGTATGCCAATAAATTGGACAAGTTCCAATATACTCTATCCACACAAACTTGTGAATGTAAAACATTATATAAGAACATATAATTTTCATAAAGATTTGTACAAGACTACTAATAAACGTTGAAAAAGTTAAGGTGAGTAACGAAATTACTAAAAGCTCAAGTTATGAAATTGACGTAATATAGAGTGTTAAAAGAAGTGAGACAAGTCTCAATTACACTTAATCGATTATCTCAAAAATACTCATATAAAAGGGTGCTTGAGTCCGTGAGACAATTCTCACTCACACCATGAGGTTAAATTACCAAGAATGAGGTTAAATTACCTAAGAACTAAAGATCAAAACAACCACGTTACGTAGATTCTAGTTTATGGTTGTGAAGTGCACCACAACAATGACTTAGAGAATAAGTGATCTTAGGAATCTTCTCTTCTTCTACTCTTTATCATGTTGTGTAGAGCTTTGACATTTTGTTTCATTCTAGCATCTAATTTCCTATTTGTGTGTGCGTGTAGAAAAATGAACACAAGAAGAAACGAAGGCAGGAGAGTTGAAGAAGCAGCTGCTGGGAAAACCAAGCTCCTCTTCAAGCCCCAACTACTGCAGTTCAAGTCCCTGTTAACCGAGTTGTGTTAACGGATGGAGAAGTTAGAGAAGCACTAGTTCAGATGGCCTAAGCCATGACTGATCGGGCACATGCTATCATTGCCTAGGCCACTAGAGAGGGGGCGCCCAGAGAGAACCCACATGCTAGCACCATGGCTAGTAGAATGAGAGATTTCACCAGGATAATCCTCCATTCTACTTTGGGTCAAAAACTAATGAGGATCCCTAGGATTTTTTTGGACGATTTCCATAAGATTCTCCGTGTTATGGGTGTTAATGAAGACGAGAAGGCTGAGTTGGCTACATACCAACTCAAGGATGTGGCTCAGGTTTGGTACAGGAAGTGGGTGGATGGCCGAGCACAAGGAGAAGTCCCCATCACTTGGGACATTCTCAAGACTGCATTCCTAGAGAGGTTCTTTCCCAGAGAGCAGAGAGGCTAAGGTTGAGGAGTTCATCAACCTACGTTAGGGAGGTATGTCAGTCAAGGGATACTCCTTAAAGTTTGTTAAGATTCCAAATATGCTTCTCCCCAAGTTTTGGAGGAGGAATATCGGGAAACCATGTTGTATGATGACATGGACCTTAGTAGGTTGATGCTAAATGCAGAGCAAGTGGAGCAGAGTCATTGGAAGAAGAGAGGCCGAGAATGCAAGAAGCCTAAGCCCTTGGATCAGGCTTGTTCTAGCACTGGTAGGAGTTCGTTTCGAGTCAAGGACAGGCCCAAGTTCCAGATGGGGCACCGATACTTAGGTAATCCTACTACCTCTATGAACACTAATGCCAATGGACAAGTCTTGCCCCAAGAAGGGAAATGATAGAAATATCCAACGTAATAGAGAGCCATGTAGTAAGTGTGGCTGTTTGCATGGAGGTGAGTACCTGGTATGTTATAATGTATGCTATGGGTGCGGCAATAGTGAGAATATGGTCAGGGACTGCCCACATGTTAATTATCCAGCCACGGCAAATACTGAGCCTCAACTTAATCCTATTACTGCAGCCGAGCCTCCCAAGAGGAACAGGTTCTACGCTTTGAAAGTTAGAAAGGAGAAGGAGAAGTAAGCTGATGTTGCCAGTAGTAACTTGCTTGACTTTTCTTTTCTGGCTTATGAATTGTTAGATCCAGGATCCACCTTGCCTTTAGTAACTCCTTTAGTAGCTAGAAAATTTGACTTGCTTCCTCAAATCTTGTATCAACCTTTTCTAGTTAGTACTCCCATAGGAGACAACACTGTAAACCAATTTATTGGAATAGGCCAAACATTGGCACTGGTCATGAGAATATCATTAGAAAATTCAATTAACTTCATGTATATACTATAGTAGTCTAATCACTTTAAGCAAGAAACCTACACATAATTATCAGTAAGAACCACATACCAACAATATGCTCGAGATTTTGCACTATACATACTACTATAATCGGAAATAGGGAGAACTAGGGAGAACTAGGGAGATGAAGATTCGACAATTTCATTGGGAACAACCCTAGTTTCAGATTTCTTGAATTTTAAGTGATTGAAATGCCTAATGGGGAAAGGAATCTAATAGAGTAAACCCATACCTTACTGTAGAATTGAATCTACAAATATCACCTTGTACTTTGCACGATAACATTGAAGAATCACCTTGAAATCGCCTCAAGGGAATTGAAAGAAATTTTCTGTTTTTCTCACATTTTTTTTACTGTTTTTGGTCAAGGGTTTCTATGGATAAACGTGAGTCTAGGTCTTAGGAAATAAATATTGACTAAATAAAATTAGGCTAATGAACTTAATTAAATACATAACTAATTACTAAAACGCTCTTCCAAAATTGACTACAAATAGGAGAGAATCTGACTTAGCAAAATCTAAAAATTTTCTAAGGGTCTCGGCCTTGACTTTGATTTTTAATTAATTAAATAAGTTGCACATTTAATTAATTAAGTGACCAATGGTAATTAATAAAGTACCCCTATGTCAGTAGGGTCATAACCAACTTCTTTGGACCATCCTAGGTTAGGTACTAGGATGTTTCTTCAGTTAGTTACCCAGCTACTTTCACCTGGTTAGGTTTTAGGATTTTTGGTACACTAGTTAGTTTATTTCGGTTAGTCCTATTTTAGTTAGTGTTCTAGGTAAGTTATTTAGAGTCTACAGTTTGTTAGGAATCTAGGCCCCACATGGATTTTCAAGTGAGCGCGCCTGCCCCCTAACCGTCTTCACTGAATTCGGTTGGGCTTTGTTGCTTTTCTCTTGGCCTGTTAACACATGTGTTGCTTCTCATTTCATGTCCATGGACCCTTACAATGTCCTTGGGCACTACTTAATCTACATGATCATTTTAAATGATCATGTGCTATGGTACCTAGGCTTGACACATAGATGCCTCGTACCTAATGTGTTAACAATTAAATGTTATTAGCTTAGGGTCTTCATTGCAACTAGAATTCCTAAACAAGCTTGGATTGGACCATATCAACATCAAAGTGTATTTAATACAAAGAAATTGGCTAAAACCATTAAGCCAATATTCTCTAATTGGGATGCCTATGTACCACAATACCTATTCTTTAAACTTAATAAACTCTTCACTAGACGAATACATTTTCTAGAATGTTACATGAATAACCTTTAGTTGTTTTTTTGTCATAGACTTATCATATTCCATATGAGATAATTTCCTTGTATAAACATGATCATGAGCTCTTTATGATTAGATGAGAATTTCCTTTCATCATAACCCTTCATATGTGAGATTAAAATAACATAGTAATCATGTGTAAAGCATACAAGAGAATATTGTAACTTGAATTTATCGTGTTCTTGTCATGATCAAACAAATAACATGTTCATATCCCAGCATATACACATAACAACATCATACATACCTCTATAACATAGCATCACGATTTATAGGCTAAGATAAACATTGTAGAGTAATCACAACTTTAGAAGACTTACCTCATGCTTCCAAGAACCTTATTCAAGAATTTAGTTCAATGTAAAACATTCATAATCATAAGATAGTTAAATAATCAATATCATAATCAAGAAAAACTCCTCAAATCATGTAAAAGATCTATGCATAATGTAGGGTAAAGGATAAGGGTCATTTAGGAGTTCATTCTAGCTTTAGTTCCAATCCCTAAATTTTTATATTATCAGGTAGTAAAGACAATCATACAAAAATTATATAGATAAGAACATGATCAACACGAAATTCAAACATACGAACAACATACTCATTTACTCGTGTGAAATAGACCATGGAAAACATTTACTTTTCATTGAACATCATAAATCTAGGGTTAGGAAGAAAATTCTTTTTGTAGAGTAAAAACCCTAGTTTTTGATGTTCTTGAAAACTTATCTTGAAAGGACCTCTTGGGGAAAGGAATCAAAATAGTGAAAAACCAATACATTATAGGTGAAGAATCCACGAAAATCGGATGAAAAGCTTGAGGTCTTCGTCTTCTTCTTTAAGTTTTTCAATGGAGTTTGGAAAAGAGAGCCTTCTTGAGAGTGATAAAAGAAATTTAATTTGATATAATTTGGGACGTGTAAAGGTTGTCTAAAACTACCAAATATAAATATATAGTTGTCCTATGAATTTTCCAAAAGACCCTCCCCTTAAATGGGTCTTTTTAAGAAGTTAAATTACCAAAACAACGACTTTAACGATTTTGGAAAGTAGTTGCGCATCGCGGGGCCAAATCCCGTCATATTTATTAAATTTTGAGTTGAGGAAGTGAGATGGTGTATGCCTCGCATCGAGAGGCTTCCTCTCTAACCTTGAGGCAGTGACTTGAGTTTCACGCTTGCGTCATACGCTTTATATCCAATTCTTCCTGCTTGCATGCTGCAAGGCAGCCTGCCTACCCATGTTTGTGTCCTTCCCAAGGACCCTTAGGGTGGTCCTTGGGGTGTCGTTACCGTACGTTTGGACCCTTTGTACTACATAATACTTATCCAGGTTAATTTTCAATGTTTTGGACTTGATTTGACACTTTGAAACCTTCACCAAACATAGGGACGTCAACTAGTTCAAATTAGCTAGTTTCCGGATGTAAAGGTCTTTCTTAGTCATTTTGGCTCTAATATTTTCCAAGTGAGTTTATTAAATTAATATTGGTTTGGAAACATCATTTAAACATTATTTGATGGATTAATCTCTACTATAAGTCATGGCATTTACGGTGTGTCACATTATCCCCTTCCCCTTAGGAACATCCATCCCCGAATGACACTAAAATCTTATGGAGGGTAGGAATAGACTCTATACTAGCAGCACAACCATTCAACAACATAAAATCATAAAATTTCACAGCTCATAGGATCATATCACAACTCCTTACAACTCATACCATAACATTACACATAGCACTCAATTCATGATATAGAACATATAAGAGCTCCATGTTCATAACACATAGTGAAGAATTTCTTTGTCAAGATTATCATAAGCTCAAAATGAATCAACGAGTCACCATGCTATCGTTCTTCTCAAGATGAAAACATAACATCAAAGTCTCAAGAAAACATATGTATACATATTTCATGTAAGTGCAAGAATATTGTATGAAGGCATTTTCTTAAAACTCTAGTTGGTACCACTTTAACCAAGCATGCACCTATTTAGAAAACAAGTCGATTTCATGATCATGCATTACTTTCTCGATTATGATGAATGTCTAACCTTAAGGAGTAAATATATGAAGATAGCGGGACTTCATATCAGCTTTAGCCTCCGATGTTGCACCCTCTACAAGATAGTTCCTCCATAGAGCTTTTATAGAGGCAACCTCCTTGTTACTTAACTTCATGACTTGGCGATCTAGGGTCTCAACCGGAACCTCTTCATAGGGGAGTTTATCATCAACTCCTAAATCTTATATAGTCATAATGGATATCGGGTCGCCTATGCATTTCTTCAGCATAGAAACATGAAACACTAGATGAACTGAAGCTAGCTCACTAGGTAGTTTCAATCCATAGGCAACCTTCCAAATTCATAGTAAAACCTCATAGGGACCAACATACTGAGGACTTAATTTCCCCTTTCAACCGAATATCATTACCCCTTTCATAGGTTAAATCTTCAAGTAGACATGATCACCTATTTCAAACTGAAGATCCCTTTTTCTATTATCGTCATAAGACTTTTGTCGACTGTAGGTTGTCTTCAATCTATCCATTATGATTCGAACCTTCTCTATAGCTTCTTAGATAATCTCACGACTAAGGAGTGAGAACTCACCAACCTCAAGCCATCCAACCGGAGATCTACACCTTCTACCAAAAAGAGCTTCAAAAGGTGTCATGGAGACGCTCGAATGAATGTCATTGTTGTAAGAGAACTCAATAAAATGTAAGTGATCATCCCAACTTCCCTTGAAATCAATAACACAGGTTCTTAACATGTCATCAAGTGTATGAACGATACATTCCGCTTGACCATCTGTCTGAGGATGAAAAGCGGTACTAAGTTTCACCGAGTACTTAAACCCTTTTAAAAAGCCTTCCAAAAATAGAGGTGAATTGGGCACCTCTATCCGGAATGATGGACAAACGAATCCCATGAAGACTCACAATCCCATTAATGTAGATCCTTGCAAAGTCTTCAGTTATGTAAGTGGACTTAACAGGAATAAAATTGGAATATTTGGTCAACCTATCCACATAACCCATATTGAATCCTTTTACCCCCTAGTTTTGAGGCAAACCTACAACAAAGTCCATATTGATGGCTTCCCACTTCCATGTAGGAATATCTATGATTTAGGTTAACCCACCCGGTTTGAGATGTTCTGCATTAACTTGATGGTAGTTTAGACACTTTGCAAAAAACTCTATTATATCCCTCTTTAAACCATCCCACCAATAGACATCTCTAAGGTCATGATATATTTTGGTGGCACCCAGATGTATAGAATAGAGAGAACCATGGGCTTCTTCTAGAATCTGTTTTGTCAAATCATCAAAATCGGGTACACATAATCTCCCTTGGTGCCTAAGAACACCATCCCCCCTAGGGAGAATGACTCATTAATATTA